AATGTATTTGATTATTACAGGGACTTATTATGCAGCTCAGACTCATAGAGATCCTCCTGTTTTCAGCCTCCCCAGCTCTGGAATTACGGATGCCTGGACTCTGTGGCCAGCTCAGCCCGCTCTGGGGGCAGGACTGGTGTAGCATGTGGTACCAGGGATCGAACCATGTGTGGTCCCTGTACTTGCCTAAGCTTGCCTAAGCAGGCGCTTTAGTCTGCTGAGCTATCTCGCCAGCTCACTTTGTAGCCTACGCCAGCTTTGAACTTGCAGCATTCCTCCTGCCTTGGCCTCCCAAGTGCTCGGGTTATAGGTGTGTGCCACCATGCCTGGCAGATATTATGCTTTAATGTAAAATATTTATTGATATTTTACTTAAATATTTAGAGTCCATGCAGAGATGTAAAAAGTCTGTTATTCATTAGTGACATTTTATTGTAAACTGAATTTAATGGCAAATGCAGATCTTCTGAGTGCTTTGTCTTGTAATGAGGCCAGCAGCTTAATGGTAGATTACTGCAGTGTAGATGGCTTGATACCTTGTAGTGAACAGGCAGTTTATAGTACACACCATTCAATTGAGCAAGGAAAATAAAATAATCGTAATTCTGGGTCATGCTTTGTCCCACAGTCCTTTGGGGTTGCTGTGGATTATCTGTGCTGTTTTCTTTCCCATCATCCCAAACAGAAAAATCCTAGAAAACTGGGGAATTTAAGAATACATCAGAACTGTACATGGTATCTTGTTTAAAACTTTTTCTTTTGAATTCAGATTTGCCTCTTGACTCCGACCTAGAAAATGAGAAATCCTCTCCAGTCGTGCTGGCCGAGGTGCTAGGCGCTGTGGTCTGGGAGGACTTGTCCGAGTGCCTCATCAAGAACTGCTTGGTTTATTCAATCCCAACGAACAGCAGCAAGCTGCAGCAGTATGAAGAGGTAAAGAGTGGACTAGCTCGGAGCTCGGAGGGCGCTGCAGGTTCCTGACGCTCACGTTCTCTTTTACTTGCAGCTGTTTTGCTATTTAGTTACAACTTACAGGAAAATTTTGAACATGAAGTAGAAACATTCTGTGTGATTTCTTTTGTGACGTTCTACTTCTCTGGGGAAATATATTATTGTGTTTTCTTTATTCTTTTATACTTGAATAGCTGTAATAGCTATTATGTGATTTTTATTTTATTTTTATTGGCCTTTTAGTACTTTCTTGAATACTACAATAAGTGTATTTATTTTAAAACTATTTTCACCTTTATCAGAGTCAGCAATTTTTGTTGCAGATATTCTTCCTAATAAAGCTTAAAATGTATAGTATTTTTTTAAACCTAGAATTTGGTGATTTATTCTAAGATCTAAGTGACCATCTTGGTTCTTGTTCTTTTCTCTACAATGGATATGAAACTTTCACATTAAATGGACAATTGGCAGTTTGTGTCCATGAGTCCAACACTTATGGTATTAGCCAGCTGCAGACTGAAAATATTTAGAAAAATATTTGTATCTCCATTGTAAATATTTTTCTATCTTGGTATTCCTTAAACCATATAGCAAGAGCAACTATTTATATAACATTTACAGTATATTGAGTACTACAGGTAATTATTTGAAGTGTATGGAGGGTGTGTAGGTCATATGCAAATACTGCACCTTTTTTATTTAAGTCTTGAGTGTCCGTAGATTTTAGAATCTGAGGAGGACTGGGCTTTATTCTCCCACGCATATAGAAAGAGGACTATATGTAATTGTTACTCTTTAATATATATTTTTTTCTCTCAGATCATACAGTCCACTGAAGAATTTGAAAATGCCCTAAAGGAAATGCGGTTTTTAAAAGGAGATACTACTGATTTGCTGAAATACGCTCGTAATGTCAATTCTCATTTTGCTAATAAGAAGTGCCAAGATGTGATTGTGGCGGCCAGAACCCTCATGACCTCTGAAATTCACAACACCGTGAAGGTAACTGGGGCATATCCCGCTGCGTTGAGGCAGTAGCTTCTTTTTGAGACACACCCAGTAAAGAAGGGAATGTGATGGTTTCGGAGCGCATGGAGAGGTTACTGCCCGTCTGCACATTCATCTCAGCCTCTTTGCGGTAGTCCCTCCTTATGCCTGTGACCCTGGCTGCTCTGGATGCTGGCCTAGTTTAGCCTGGGCAGTGTAGGAAGACTCGTCTCAAAAAAAATTTTTTTTTTTAAAAGCCCAGGGGTGGGGCTGGTGAGATGGCTCAGTGGTCTAAAGCGCCTACTTAGAACAAGCTTCGCAAAGCACAGGGACTGCGGTTCAATCCCCCAGCACCACATGCCAGCCAGCCCCGCCCCCTGGTGGGCTGAGCTGGCCACACACACACACAAATAAAAAAAAAAAAAAAAGCCCAGGGGTATAGCCCAGCTCTAGACCGCTTGTGTAGTATGTAGGAAGCCTTGAATTCGGTTATGAAAAGGAAAAGAAGAAAAAGCGATCCTAATGTTTATCTCTTCCTGTGGATATTATGAGATCTGTGTAAGCTAATGCACTTGAAAGCATAGTATAAATTGTAAAAGTTTACAGAAGTGTAATAGATTTAAAATAATATACTTTTAGGGCTAGCCAGATAGTTCAGCGGACTCTTAATGCACCTGCTTGGGTAGGTGGTCCACAGCATCCTGTGCCAGCCCCGCTCCCGGGCTCACCTGTAATCCTCGCACTTGGGAGGCTGAAATCAGGAGGATGATTATGCGTCAGTCTGTGTCGTGAGACCCTGTCGACCCTGTACTAAATACATAAAATAAAAATAAAATAATAGACTGTTTTGTGAGTCAGGGTCTCACTATGTAGTTCACACTGACCTTGAACTTTCTGTGTAGCTCAGGCTGGCCTCAGATTTGCCACAATCCTCCTGCCTCATTGGCCTCAATGCTGGGATTATTACAGGCATGTGCCACCACCCTGTTTCAGCGGCTGGCACAGCGGTATGGCAGTGCGGTTGCCAGACAGGTGCTTAGACCTCCTAGCTATCTCCCTAGCCCCCCTCTTTCCTTTTCTAAAAACGAATTTTAACCTAATTACTTTTCATCTAAATTCTAAAATATTGTCCTATATATACTATTTTCTCAAAAAATTAATAAAGTTCTGGTTTTATTGTTTGTTTTTATATTATTTTGGGTTGTAAAATAATAGTAATTTTTTTTTTTTTAATGTATTTAGTACAGAGTCTACAGGGTCTCACCATGTAGACCGGACTTGTAGCGATTCTCCTGTTTTCAGCCTCCCAGGTGCTGGGATTACAGGTGGGCACCACCTCACCCAGTTTCAACGGCCATCTCAGCGCGCCCGAGGGTGGGGCGGGGCCGGCACAGCATGGCATGGCATGGCACGGCACGCTGTGGACCAAACCCCAGCTGCTGCGTTCTGCGTAAACAGGCGCTTTAGTCCGCTGAGCTTTCTGTCCAGCCCAATGGCGGTATTGTTAGACATTAAACTTGTTAAGGATAGGATACTACGTGGTAAAGATAACACAGTTTTCAAGACATGCATGGCGAGCAGGCAACCGGTGCAGAGTTTTTCTGAAGTGACAGTCTTCTGTCCATAAGATGATGGTCCCTTCCAGCCATTTAGGGCCGCACAGCCACTGCTCCCACCAATACCTGGGAAGGGAGTTTGAGCTCTCAAGGAGTGTGAGATGACTTCTGCTGAAGAGGTCTTGCTGAGCTTGAATTTTTCACTCATGGTTGTCAGGTTTTAAGTTCTTGCACTTATAAATCAAGATATTGTTGGTGCTTTATATAACCAACCCAAGCACATAAAAAGCATAGAAGTGTGCACCGAAACCCCAGGGGAACACTGTATAGTGTGTCTGGGCTTGACTCATGAGCCTTGCTGATGGTGTAGCATGATGGAAGAGGGAGAAATCATAAAAAAGAGGCTACTGGATTAGCTCCATGGTAAGCACAGTTCATGTAGCTAAAAACTAGATCATTTTTCCCCAAAGAGAACATTATTTATAGCTTTAACACCAGTAAAGCAGTTCTTCATGTCGTCATCATAATCCTCATCATTATTTTGGGACAGGGTCTTGGTATGTAGCTCAGGCTGGCCTCAAACATGCAGCAGTTTCCAGCTTTGGCCTTCCGAGTGCTGAGGTTACAGGTGTGTGCCTCCAGGTCTGGTCAAAAGAGCGGTTCTTGAACATAACAAATGATTCAGGTCCATAAGTCAGAAGCTGGTCCTTCCCTGTCCCCTTTCTTTCTTTCTTCTCCCCGCTTTTCCCTTCGCCCTCCTCGTCCTTTTTCTGTGTTACTGAGGATTCAACCCAAGGCTGCATGCAACTTGGAACTTGGAAAGGTCTAGAGAGCTAGGTTACATTCCCAGCCTTTTTTAGAATTTATTTTGAGATAGATACTCCTGAAGTTGCCTGGACTGACCTCAAACTTGAGCTCTTCCTGCTTTAGTCTCCTGAGCAACTAGGATTATAGACATGCCACTATACTTGGTAATAGATTTCTCATTTTTTTTTAAGAGCACTTTAAACAAGTTATTTAATTGAAATATGGTACACTGACTTCCATTTATTTTGTTTTTTTTTTCTTCCATTTATTTTGATACATCTTTTCCTTACCGTGTTTTAGAGGATCTTCAAGCCAGTATAAATATTTCATAAATATTTGGCCATTTGGGTCTACCTGCACAGTACGTCAGCAATATCTTTCAACAGGAAAAACACTGAAGAGTAAAGACATGACACAGTCAACTAGGTACAGTGAAAATCTGTTCCAAATACTTCTCAAATAGTTCTTTCTCTGAGGTAATGCCACCATATACCTGTTCATTTAAGAAAACCATCCTTCCAACACAGGACAATTTTTTATTTTTCAAATTTACTTTTAATTTTTTTATTTTGAAGAAAAGAAAAATAAACAATAAAAGCAATGGCATAAAATTTCAAAGCAAGATTGTTGGAAGGGCCAGGGAGACAGCTCTGCAGCTTAATCGCCTGCCTGGCAAGTGCAGGGTCCTGAGTTTGATCCCTGATACAAAAAATTAAAAAAAGAAAGAACCCCAGTACAAAAAAGAGAGAATGCTTACAATTGTAGGAGAGTATAGGGGCTGGAGTATTTTCCCTTAGTTAGGTGCCAAATGGCAGAGCTACATCCCCAGCCTACGCCATGAGTTCACAGTGAGCGGGCGGCTTCCAGCAGTTCAGGCCCCTTCCCTTTGGGTCTCACAAAGTGCGCTTCTCTGGGAAGGGCAGGCTGCCACTTCGGTTGTATGCGGACACCTTTCTCTTTGGCATCCTCCTTTTTCTGTTAATTTTCCTTGACACATTTCAGGAAACTATCTCGACTCTGAGTATTTAATGTGCCCATTACGCTATGCACATTAATCCTCTTGGCGAGTGTCTTGCCCTTAACTTGCTTGTTTACGACAGTGCCAAGAGCATGCTGGGTAGCATTATAGACTGTTCTAGTTTTGCCATGGTGACATCTGTGTGGCATTGCTTTTTGCGCAGCACCCACCACCTTGATGTCTACAATGTCACCCTTTTTGTAGATTCACATGGATGTGGCCAAGTGACCAGCCCCATGTTTTCTAAAAGGTCTAGAGAGTATATACGGGCTGCCTTTCTCTCCCTTTGTGTACACTATTCTGGCAAATTACTGGAAGATGGCAGTTCAGGCTGAAAGGCTAGGTTTCTCTTAGGAGAAAAAAAGTTAAAATATAAACTATGCAGTAGCTGAGAGACAATATCTTTGTGCTGGAGCATATACAAATTAAGGCCTTGACTTGGTACAAAACAGCTTTGAAATTATGGTGGAACATTCCCAACAAGTAATTTACATATAAGAACTCCAGCAATTCCAGCATGTGGGCCCAGTTTAGACAAGAAATGTTATGGATCCTTACATTCAACTAAACATACTTAGTTGCTGGCTTTGAACTCACTTTGTAGCCCAGGCTGGCCTCAAGCTCAAGTCCTATATTACAGGTGTGTGTCTCCCCATCTCCTGCCACTAGACTTGGAGCATCTTCTATCACAGATTTTCCTTAGGGTTTGAGTATGTGCAGAGCAGAGTGCTTTATTTTTGCAGTGGGAGTCAGGAGATTGCTCCCTCTACCTGCTTAATATCTTTCTCATTCTCTTTGGTTTTTTTTGGCCCCTGAGGCATCTTTGAAAAGCAAAGTTTCAGAGCTGTTATTAGTGTAATCTATTCATTGGTTAAGTGATTAGGCTTAAAAAGTTAAACGTTAGGTTTAAAAAGTCACTATCTTGAGACTCACTACCTAGTGTTCTTTCATTGGTCCCAGTCTGGGAATGTTCATTCTATGTAAATTTTAGGGAGAATATTTTTAATTGGGGTTTGGAGGTTTGTTTTTTCCCCCTCTCTTTGAGACAGGGTTTCACTATGCAGCTTAGGCTGACCTGGAGCTCATTTGTAGCCCAGGCTGGTCTCACACTCGATGATCCTCCTGCCTCAGCCTGAGTGCTGGGAATTCATGTCTACACACCTGTGACTTCACACCCTGCCAAGTGTTTGGGTTTTTTTTAGAGTTGAATATATCAGCTTGAGCAGGTTTTCTCTTAGACTAAGTTATATTCCTGGTATAAAGTAATTTGTTTGATAAAGTTTTTTTTTTTTTTTTTTTTATGAATTTGGTACAGGGTCTCACTACGCAGCTCGGACTCATAGTGGTCCTCCTGTCTCAGCCTCCCCAGCACTGGGATTACAGACGTGCGACACTATTCCCAGTTGGTGGCCCACTCGGTGCTGCGGGTGGGGCTCGTGTGGCATGTGGGGCTGGGATCCAGCCAGGTCTCTGTGCTTGCCTCAGCAGGTGTTAGTCTGCCGAGCTAGCTCATTGGCTCAATTTGTTTGATAATTACAAAAAATTATTAAAGGAACAGAAAATTTGCTGGTCTTTATGATTTAATCAGTCTAGGAGAGGCGATTTTGAAGGCCTGTCAGTCGCAGAGCTCTTGGACAAGCTGCACAGTGTGGCTGTTTCTAAGATGGGAGCTTTTGGAAGGACACAAAGGTTGTTGCTCGTTTCTTACGCTGTGCTTGCACCTGAGGCTGAGTTGTCATTAAGATGATGCCTCGCCTGCTCGGTTCTTGTAATTGCTCTGTAAACCTACAACCTTGTCATCCTGAAAACAGCCACTGTCGTATGCCAGCTGTGTGCTTTCATTGGAACTATTCTGAAAACAATGCATATTCTGTTTCTACGTTTGAATCTTAGATTGTTCCTGATTCTAAGGTAAAAGTCCCAGACTTACCCAGCCCTGGTGAGGACGACAAGCGAGCGGTGCAGAAAGTGGCCCCAGTTCAGTGTGAGGGAGCCGCGGACCTGGAGCCTGAAGACTCGCTGGACCCGCACTCCTTTTCTTTGCCCACGTGCCGTATCAGTGAGTCAGTGAAGAAGTTGATGGAGCTGGCCTATCAGACTCTACTGGAAGCAACAACCAGTAGTGACCAGTGGTATGAGTTCTGGTTGTCTGAAAGTGTTAGTGACTCAGTTAAGCTTTTTGTCTGACTGGACATTTATTTAGAAAATCTTGGGAGTCTTTGGGTTTGCCTATCCTATAGTTAATATTTCTTTCTTGAAAGACCATGCACAGAGATATGTATTGGTCTCTTATTTACGACAACATACAGATCTTACAGCAAAACATAAGGAATACTGTAGATATACTTAAATGGATGGGTATATATGTTTCTTTAATATTAAGTTTTTAATCCTTTACTTTTTGTTTATTGTTTTACTTTTTATTATACAAGTTGATTCAAGAAAAGTACTTTGAAAATGATTAGTACTTAAATGTTATTACTGGTAGTGATGGTAATAGGAATAATTATCCCATGTGCCCCAGCTTTTTATTTTTATTGATTTATTTTTGGCACCAGGAATTGAATTCAGGATCTTGCCCTTGCCAGGTAGGCGCTGTGCTGCTGAGCTGTATCCCTGGCCCTGTTCTAGCTTTTCAAATCTAGCTAATGAAATCCAGGCCCAATTTTATGTGTAAAATGTTTACTTTTATTTTAACCTAGCATGATGATACATACCTATAATCTCTGCTCAAGAGGCTGAGACGAGAGTATCCATGAATTTGAGGCCAGCCTGGGCTGCATGGTGAGCTCAAGGCCAGCCTGGACTACACATAAGAAGTTCAAGGCCAGCCTGGACTACTTAGAAGACCCGGTCTCAACCAAAAAAAGAAGTTTATTTTTCAAACAATAATTTGTTAGTCAGCCAAAGATAGAAGGAAAGGAAGAGAGCGTACCACAGATCTGCCCTCAGCCTTTCAGGATGGCCTCTTCTAATTTACACTGTGTTTAGTGCATCAAACTGCTCGACGTCTCATACTGAATTTCTTTTTGTTTACTGAAGACCCTTTCTATTCCTAGATTAGATTGAGAAGAAAATGGCAGGCCATAGCCCAAACTGGTTGTCAAGCAAACTTACAAAAGCCTGTTTGGTTTGTGTTAGTTGAATAGTTCACTTCTCATTGCTACAATAGAAAACAGTTTGAGTTAGATTTGGCTTAATAATATCACATGTTCGGATCTGCAGCTTTTATCTTTGTGTGCAAATAAACCCCTTCATTTCGCTGTAGAGAGAATGTGTTTGCCAAGATGCTTCCATGGCTTTAGTGAATCATTGTATTTATAAGTATGTCCAGTTTTTAATTATAAGTAGGAAGAAAAATACATACTTTCTTATAAAGGAAGTATATACTCTTTTGGCAGAATAAATGCAGGAGAGATTATTTCTTCACATGACATTCTCTAATATATCAGACCAGATGTAAGAGATTTAGAGAAGCATTTTAAAATTTACTGAGAAAATAGATACCAAACAGTATTTTTATGTACTATTTATACTAATTTACCTAAAAGAGAGGGCTTTCAACAAAATAAACAAAAACACAGCTCCATTATAATGCCCCCCTCTGCATTACCAAGAGTCAGACACCAGCACAGTCAGCGGAAAGTAAAGTGAGTTAATTCTATCCGTTATGGTAATTAGTAGCTATGGGTCTTTGAGGATAACAGCCATGACTTGTTTTTCTAGGTATTTATGGAATTCCTCGGAGTTATTTCAGGTACATAAGTTAGCTGTAGAGGTCAGCAAACCTTAGATTTGCTCTTTTTAAGTTCATTTTAATAATAATTTTTAGGTGCTTTAAGACCAGATTTAAAGGGCAAAAAATCCTGAGAGCTAGATTATATCCTTGAAATTGTTGATTCAGCTCCTTGCATTTGGAAAGCAGGCGCAAAGCTGAGCGCTGGAAGCGAGCTGGCCGTGGAGGAGCCTGTGTGGCCCGCTGATCCCCTGCCCTTTGCACAGGGCCTCAGCCACAGGTGACATTTGCTTGAGGTTTAGCTCCATTTGTTACTGTGAGGAAACTGGCAGAACACAGACTGTGAAAAGAAAGAAGGCTTTGGGCTGAATGTGGCTGTTCCTAAAATCACTAAGCATCCAGGTTTTTTAGAGCCGCAATTCAGTTAGTAAACATTGGTTGGAAACATACTTCCATCAAGATTAGTATTTTCCAGCAGTGACCAGGGAGGTTTTCTCTGCCACCATAGTTTTAACTGATGACCTGCACTAAAGGGTGTATTTAGTTATTATTATTATTTTTATCTTCAGCTTCAGCATGTCCTTATGCATTTCTCTTAAATCCTTGCTTTCCTGTCAGTGCTGTTCAACTTTTCTACTCAGTGAGGAATATCTTCCATTTGTTCCATGATGTTGTGCCGACATATCATAAGTAAGTGCCGTTGTCTCATTTCTGGGTGATAATTATACATCAAGGTAGTTAAGTTAAAGTCAGGGATTCTGTATTTTCACCAGAAATATTTTGGGGGGCTGGAGATAGCTCAGTAGCATAAGCACCTGCCTAGCAAGTGCAAGGTCCTAAGTTCAATCTCCGGTACCAAAGAAAAAAATTTTGGTTACTAAAATTCACAGTAAAGTGCTATAAATCATTTAAAAGCATTTTAAAAGACTTGGGCATTTACTCCTAAATTGATAAGTAATTTTACAGTACCTTTGCAGTATAGTGGGTAGCAGAAATTTTAAAACTCAAAAGGACTTCGCTTCTTTTTAATAGCTAGACATTTTCAAAGCTCTTTCCTTGGATAAAAACCCAGAAAGGACAGCGTTCCCTATTGCCATCTGGTAGGCGGTCTTCCATTTCCCCGGCATTTGTGCTGTTGCGGAGAGTGCAGTCTGACTGTGAAGTACGGTCAGCTGTTTTTCCTCGCATCATAGACTGGATTTATTGGGTCTGTTATTCTGCACAGTTACTCAGCTCTTAAGTTTCTCAGTGTCTTTTATTCCAATTAAATGTTTTAGGTGCTTTTTAATAAGTGCTTTTAGTAATAGTTCATTAAAAGCTATTTCATAGCCAAGGGACTATGCTTTCAAAGAAAAGAAATCAGTTTGTTATTTGAAGTGTCTTTTTTTTTTTTTTTTTGCAGAACCGGGT